GGGGGGGGGGGGGGGGGGAATGCCCCAATTCGATTGTTGGGAACCGAATTTCCGACATCAGTGCGTTTTCGGTCTTGTTTAGGGGCGGTTTCGAAATGTCGGCATCTAGTAGTCGAGTTTTTTCGCGCGCATGCAAAAAAATGTATATTGGCATTGTGGTGGAGAACACCCCAATTTGATGGTTGAGAATCGAATTTGCGACATCGGCACGTTTTGTTTGCTTTCTGAGGCGTTTCTGAAATGTTGGCTCCTTGGGAGCCAGAACTTTTCGCGCGCATGCCAAAAAGAATATTTTTTGGCATTGTGGTGGGGAATGCCCCAATTCGATGGTTGGGAACCGAATTTGCGGCACCGGCACGTTTCGGTCGCGTTTAGGGGCGGTTCTGAAATGCCAGCTCCCTGGGAACATGGATTTTTCGCGCTCATGTGAAAAAAATATTTCTTGACATTGTGGTGGGAAATGCCCCAATTTGATGGTTGGGAACCGAATTTGCGACACCGGCGCGTTTTCGGTCGCGTTCTAAGGCGGTTCAAAAATGTCGGCTCATTGGCAGCTAGGATGTTTTGCACGCATGCGAAAAAAGTATTTTTTTGGCAATGTGGTGGGGAATGTCCCAATTTTATGCTTGGGAATTGAATTTGCGACACTGGCGCCTTTTGGGTCGCATTCTAAGGTGGTTTTGAAATGTGGGCTTCCACGTGATCCTGGATTTTTCACGCACATGCGAAAAAATATTTTATGGCATTGTGGTGGTGAATGGCCCAATTCGATAGTTGGGAATCAAATTTTCGACACTGGCGCATTTTTTGTCCCACTCTAGGGCGATTCCAAAATCCCGGCTCCCTCGGAGCTTGGATTTTTCATTCGGTTGCGAAAAAAATATTTCTTGGCTGTGGTGGGGAATGCCTCAATTTGATGGTTGGAAATCAAATTTTCGACATCGGCGCATTTTCGATTGCATTCTGGGGTGGTTTCGAAATATCAGCTTCCCGGGAGCCGAGATTTTTTTGCTCGAATGCAAAAAAAATTATTTCTTGGCATTGTGCTGGGGAATGCCCCAAGTCAATAGTTGGGAACCAAATTTGCGACACCAGCGCATTTTCGGTCGTGTTCAAGGGCGGTTTCAATATGTCGGCATTCCGTAGTCGGGATTTTTCGCGCGCATGCAAAAAAATGTATATTGGCATTGTGGTGGGGAGTGCCCCAATTTGTTGGTTAGAATCGAATTTGCGAGACCTGCGCGTTTTCAGTAGCGTTCTGGTGCGGTTCCGAAATGCTGGCTCCCTGGTGTGGAATGCCCCAATTTGATGGTTGGGACTCGAATTTGCGACACCGGCATATTTTTGGCCGCGTTCTAGGGGGATTTTGAAATGTCGGCTCCCCGTGGGCCGAAATTTTTTGTGCGCATGTGAAAAAAATATTTATTGGTGTTGTGGTGGGAATTCCCCAATTCGATGGTCGGGAACCGAGTTTGGGACACCGTCACGTTTTTTATCACGTTTTGGGGCGGTTGCAACTACTGCTGCCTGGAAGTCGGGATTTTATTTCATGACATTGGGGTGGGGAATTCCCAACTCGATGGTTGGGAGCCAAATTTTGCGAAACCAGCGCATTTTCGCTGAAGTTCTAGGGCAGTTTTTAAAGGGAGCGGTTCTTTCGTTCAGTAGCATTATTTCTTAGCATTGGGGTGAGGAAACCCAACTCGATGGTTAGAAGCCGAATTTTGAGAAACTGGCACATTTTCGCTTGCGTTCTAGTGCCGTTTTTAAATGGAGCGATTTTTTCGCTCAGTAGCGAAAAAGTTATTTATTTTCATTGGAGTGGAAAATGCCCCAACTCAATGGTTGGGAGCGAAATTTTACGAAACCGGCGCGTTTTCGTTTGCGTTCTAGGGCAGTTTTGAAATGGAGCGGTTTTTTCGCTTTGTAGCAAAAAATTTATTTCTTAGCATGAGGGTGGGGAATGCCCCAACTCGATGGTTGGGAGAGAAATTTTGCGAAACCGACAGGATTTCGCTTGCACTCTAGGGCAGTTTTGAAATGGAATGGTTTTCGCTTTCTCTCTAGGGCCGTTTCGATATCCTACCTATGCAAGTAGAACCTCTGATCCACCTTCCAAGGCCCTTACTAAAGAGGATAGGCTTGAATAATCGGTTCGAATCGAGCCCCATCTTTTCTCGACAATTTCTATCTAACGAAACGAGATCAACAAAATTCTTATCCCCTTTCTGGAACAGTAAACTCATGAACCTCTACATAGTTCTTCTTTCACTTGAGAAGCTCATTCATTTTCTTCGTTTACAGGATTGAATCTGAATGGGGACTCTCCTCATGTAAATGAATGTCTTCTTCTTCTACCTTGATTCTTTAACTAACTGTCAATCAAGTTCAGGTCCTATCGGTTCCGGTGTAGGAGAGAAGCTGGTCAGATGCAAAAGTTGTATATTCTAGTTCCCCAGGATTTCAACAACCTTGATGCCCAAAGTTTGAGATTGACCGTCCGCTTCTTCCTAAACATCGACTCTTCAAACTGGAGCAGGAATTATCCCGGTCGACTAATGTGAGAATTAGTAAGTTAGGAGTTGTGCCTTAATCTTCTGAAGTTTAGGTCTCTCCACTTATGTTATGGCATAACCGATCCTCAACGTTAGCAAGCCTTGCTATTCGGATGAAAAGAATGTCTGTCATCCTAATGAAAGCCGGATTCCTTCCCTCAAGGTTTGTTTACCTATCATGTCACTCAAAGATGAATCCTAAAGAAGAAGGAAAAACGTCAGCCCTTCACTAATTATGATGGTTCGCCAGGGCCTCTTTCCTCCTCTCTTTTCTGCTCACTCGTAGGGTCCGTATCCCCACAAAGGTGGAGGGAGTCGACTGAACATCTCAGCCATTGGCGGGGAGTTTACCTCCTTCTTTCTTACTTACTTACAGGCAGTCGAGTAAATGAATCAGCTGCTTTACTGAGACCGAGTCAAAGAATAGTTAAACCCTTGGGTGGTGATTTAGTGGCAGTGGGCGGCAAAGTTGCTTTGTTACCTATTCTGTTAGGAACCGCAGATTTTTTGGTACATCATATTCATGCATTTACGATTCATGTAAGGAAAAGGTAAGAGTGACTACTTACTCTTATTCCGACGATAGGAAAGTTTGAGCTGAAAGATTGAATTACACCGGGACAGGACGGAAGATTAACCTATTTACCTCGCTTACTGTGAAAGAAGGGAGAGGCTTAGGGGCGAAGCAAGCAGTCAGACCAATCACAATTCTATATAGTCCATTTACTATAGAAGTTCCGAGGGAATTCATTAGAGGAATTTTTTCAATAAAAATTGTTTGTTCTTGCATATCCCTACGGGTTTTCCAAATTAATCCGCAAGGAGTAGTTCTCTTTTACAGTGAAAGAAAGAGTAAATGAATTAGCTAACCTATTTATCGAGTCAAAGAAAAGAGCTATTGAAGAACCGAGAAGAAAGTATCAGCAACAACAGGTTTTATTACGGGACAGCTCATGATGTTCATATCGATCTATTATGCGCCTCTGCATCTAGCATTGGGTAGACCTCATACAATAACTGTCCTAGCTCTACCGTATCTTTTGTTTCATTTCTTCTGGAACAATCACAAACACTTTTTTGATTATGGATCTACTACCAGAAACTCAATGCGTAATCTTAGCATTCAATGTGTATTCCTGAGTAATCTCATTTTTCAATTATTCAACCATTTTATTTTACCAAGTTCAATGTTAGTCAGATTAGTCAACATTTCTATGTTTCGATGCAACAACAAGATGTTATTTGTAACAAGTAGTTTTGTTGGTTGGTTAATTGGTCACATTTTATTCATGAAATGAGTTGGATTGATATTAGTCTGGATACAGCAAAATAATTCTATTAGATCTAATAAGTACCTTGTGTCAGAATTCAGAAATTCTATGGCTCGAATCTTTAGTATTCTCTTATTTATTACCTGTGTCTACTATTTAGGCAGAATACCGTCACCCATTCTTACTAAGAAACTGAAAGAAACGGAGGGGACTAAACAGGAACAAGAGGGATCCACCGAAGAAGATACTTCTCCTTCCCTTTTTTCGGAAGAAAAGGAGGATCCGGACAAAATNAGTCTGGATACAGCAAAATAATTCTATTAGATCTAATAAGTACCTTGTGTCAGAATTCAGAAATTCTTGCAGTTTTGAAATGGAGCGGTTGTTTCGCTCTTTAGCGAAAAAATTATTTCTTGGCATTGGGGTGGGGAATGCCCCAACTCAATGGTTGGGAGCCGAATTTTGCGAAATCGGCGCATTTTTGTTTGCGTTATAGGGCGGTTTTGAAATGGAGCGGTTTTTTCGCTCGGTAGCGAAAAAATTATTTCTTGGCAATGGGGTGGGGAATGCCCCAACTTGATGGTTGGGAGCCTAATTTTGTGTAACTGACGCGTTTTCGCTTGCGGTCTAGGTCGGTTTTGAAATGGAGCGGTTTTTTCGCTTGGTAGCGAAAAAATTATTTCTTGGCATTGGGGAGGGGAATTCCCCAACTCGATGGTTGGGAGACGAATTTTGCTAAACCGGCGCGTTTTTGCTTGCGTTCTAGGACGGTATTGAAATGTGAAATGGAGCGATTTTTTCGCTTGGTAGCGAAAAAATCATTTCTTGGTATTAGGGTGGGGAAGGCCCCAACTTGATGGTTGGGAGCCTAGTTTTGTGAAATCGGCGCGTTTTTGCTTGCGTTCTAGGGCGGTTTTGAAATGGAGCAATTTTTTCGCTTGGTAGTGAAAAAATTATTTCTTGGCATTGCGGTAAGGAATGCCCCAACTCAATAGATGGGAGCGGAATTTTGCGAAACCAACGTGTTTTCGCTGGAGTTCTGGGGCGGTTTTGAAATGTGAAATGTTGCGGTTTTTTCGCTTGGTAGCGAAAAAATTATTTCTTGGCTTTAGGGTGGGGAATGCCAGAACTTTGATGGTTGGGAGCCGAATTTTGCAAAACCAACGCGTTTTCGCTTGAGTTCTAGGGCAGTTTTGAAATGTGAAATGTTGCGGTTTTTTCGCTCGGTAACGAAAAAATTATTTCTTGGCATTGGGGTGGGGAATGCCAGAACTTTGATGGTTGGGAGCCGAATTTTGCGAAACCAACGCATTTTCGCTTGAGTTCTAGGGCGGTTTTGAAATGTGAAATGTTGCGGTTTTTTCGCTCGGTAGTGAAAAAATTATTTCTTGGCATTGGGGTGGGGAATGCCCCAACTCAATGGTTGGGAGCCGAATTTTGCGAAATCGGCGCATTTTTGTTTGTGTTATAGGGCGGTTTTGAAATGGAGCGGTTTTTTCGCTCTGTAGCGAAAAAATTGTTTCTTGGCAATGGGGTGGGGAATGCCCCAACTTGATGGTTGGGAGCCTAATTTTGTGTAACTGACGCGTTTTCGCTTGCGGTCTAGGTCGGTTTTGAAATGGAGCGATTTTTTCGCTTGGTAGCGAAAAAATTATTTCTTGGCATTGGGGAGGGGAATTCCCCAACTCGATGGTTGGGAGCCGAATTTTGCTAAACCGGCGCGTTTTTGCTTGCGTTCTAGGACGGTATTGAAATGTGAAATGGAGCGATTTTTTCGCTTGGTAGCGAAAAAATCATTTCTTGGTATTAGGGTGAGGAAGGCCCCAACTTGATGGTCGGGAGCCTAGTTTTGTGAAATCGGCGCGTTTTTGCTTGCGTTCTAGGGCGATTTTGAAATGGAGCAATTTTTTCGCTTGGTAGTGAAAAAATTATTTCTTGGCATTGCGGTAAGGAATGCCCCAACTCAATAGATGGGAGCGGAATTTTGCGAAACCAACGTGTTTTCGCTTGAGTTCTGGGGCGGTTTTGAAATGTGAAATGTTGCGGTTTTTTCGCTTGGTAGCGAAAAAATTATTTCTTGGCTTTAGGGTGGGGAATGCCAGAACTTTGATGGTTGGGAGCTGAATTTTGCAAAACCAACGCGTTTTCGCTTGAGTTCTAGGGCAGTTTTGAAATGTGAAATGTTGCAGTTTTTTCGCTCGGTAACGAAAAAATTATTTCTTGGCATTGGGGTGGGGAATGCCCCAACTCGATGGTTGGGAGCGGAATTTTGCGAAACCGACAAGTGTTCGCTTGCGTTCTAGGGCGGTTTTAAAATAGAGCAGTTTTTTCGCTCGGTAGCGAAAAACATTATTTCTTGGCATTGGGGTCGGGAATGTCCTTGCTCGATGGTTGGGAGCCAAACTTTGCGAAATCGGCGCGTTTTCAGTTGCGTTCTAGGGCGGTTTTGAAATGGAGCGATTTTTTCGCTTAGTAGCAAAAAAATTATTTCTTGGTATTGGGGTGGGGAATGCCCCAACTTGATGGTTGGGAGCCTAATTTTGCGAAACCGGCGCGTTTTCGCTTTCGTTCTAGGGCGGTTTTGAAATGGAGCGGTTTTTTTGCTTGGTAGCGAAAAAATTATTTCTTGGCATTGCGGTAAGGAATGACCCAACTCGTTAGTTGGGAGACGAATTTTGCGAAACCAATGCGTTTTCGCTTGAGTTATAGGGCGGTTTTGAAATATGAAATATTGCGATTTTTTCGCTCGGTAGCGAAAAAATTAGTTCTTGGCATTGGGGTGGGGAATGCCAGAACTTTGATGGTTGGGAGCCGAATTTTGCGAAATTGGCGTGTTTTCGCTTGCGTTCTAGGGCAGTTATTAAATGGAGGGGTATTTTCACTGAGTAGCGAAAAAATTATTTCTTTGCATTGGGGTGGAGAATGCCCCAACTCGATGCTTGGGAGCCGAATTTTGCGAAACCGGCGCGTTTTCGCTTGTGTTCTAGGGCGATTTTAAAATAGAGCGATTTTTTCGCTCGGTAGCGAAAAAATTATTTCTTGGCATTGGGGTGCGGAATGCCCCAACTCGATGGTTAGGAGCAGAATTTTGCGAAACTAGCGCGTTTTTGCTTGGGTTCTAGAGTGGTTTTGAAATGTGAAATGGAGCAGTTTTTTCGCTTGGTAGCGAACAAATTATTTCTGGCATTGGGGTGGGGAATACCCAAACTCGATCGTTTGTAGCCGAATTTTGCGAAACCGGCGCCTTTTCTCTTGCGTTCTAGGGTGGTTTTGAAATGGAGTGGTTTTTTCGCTCTGTAGCGAAAAAATTATTTCCTGACATCAGCAGTTTCTTGAGTATCAGCTATAGCATCACTAGGTGAATCTTTCAGCAACTCAACCTCATCAACAACTCCAACTTGCTTCACCTCTGGTTCCTCAGCAAGAGTCTCAGAAGTTTCTTGAGTATCCGCTACAACATCACTATGTGAATCTTTCAGCAACTCAACCTCAACTCCCACTTGCTTCACCTCTTGTTTCTTAGCAACAGTCTCAAGAGTTTCTTGTGTATCTGCTACAACATCACTCTGTGGATTGTTCTGCAACTCAACCTCAACTCCCACTTGCTTCGTTGTCCCGGTACTTTTCTTCAATTCTCTGGAACTCCTGTTTATTCGGAATTATCCTTAGATTTGTATGGGTGAGAGTGACCCGAGTTCGCAGACTCAATAAGCCTCCCATTTCAAGGGTAAGACTGGGTGAATAGCTAGGGACATAGGGTGCAAGATAGAATTCACTTCTACCCGCTTTTAGGGATAGTAGAGAGGTTATTCCCTTAAGTACTGACTTCAGGTCTTGAACAAGGGGCCCCACCCTCTCATTGGCCAGAGAGGGATTTGGTTTGTTGTTACCACAAAACAATTGTTCATGAGAGAATCAGTGGGACTTATGGAACAAGAAGTAACTTTAGGGGTAAAACGGTAAATTGACCCAACTCTAATTACGAACAACCAGTGAAGGATCGACTTACTAATCATGGCTATATCAAATGGATAGAAATATATCTATAGTGATTGGAGTGCAACTACTAGGCTATAGTGGAGTGTCCTACTAGTTAACGAATAGTGGTTAATCTTGGATCGTTGGAGCCCATGATCTATAAGGTCCATTAGGTCCCTCTGCTAGCTCATATCAGACTAAACCATAGAACAGTGTGACGAGTGAGTTCGAAGTGTTCGAATTCAAATTAGGGAATATGTGCTACATATATACGATATATTTAACCGCATTTTTGTTTTATTTACAAATTAAACAAAAAGTGAGAATCAAAGATATTTAAATAAGATTTAAATATTTTAATCAAATATGTGTCGGAATTGATTAGGATGGGCATATGAATTAATATTAAATATTAATTAAATAGTTTAATTAATCATTTAATATTACTTTAATTTGAAATTAATTATTCAAATTAATTGTTGAATTAAAATGAAGAAAGTCAAGATGTTGACTTCACTATCCATGTTTGAGTTAGTGGAATTTTGAGGTGTCAAAAATTGGTTAAACCAAACTTGCATGCTTGCCAAATAAACCCCATAAATTTGAGTGGGATTTTGAGTGTCAAAATTTTGTTAACTCAAACTTGCATGCTTGCGAGTGTCAAAATTTGGTGATCTCAAATTTGCATGAACATGCAAATATGACTTTTTAAATATAGCGATCAAGGTACATGGAACTTCTCCCTTGAAAAACCTTGAGAAAAACTCTCACAAACTCTCTCTTCATATATACTAAATCCCTCCTAAGTTTAGTCACTCACCGAATTTTCCAATCCCATTCTAATGCCGGAGAATAGTGGAGAAGACACTAATGGTGGTTCGAAACCGGTTCGGAGGAAAAAGGAATTTGAACTACAAAAGGTTAGTAATCAAACACCTTGAGTTTTAATACTTATGAACATGCTAGTTATTTATTATAATTGATGTTCTAAGAGCGCCTAAGATCCAAATTGCTTCCACATGTGTTATATTAACACCATCAAAATAAACAGTAACTAAAACAATTAAAACATCAAAGTAAAAATGCCCTATACTAACCTATGCCTAAGAAAATAAAATACTACTATTCAATGCACGTGCCATTATCTCTATTTGTGATGTCGTCATCTGCTGTATAGGGGTGTCTTGCACTTACCTGAAATCGAAGTAGCACAAGGCTTGAGTATTTTAAGAAATACTCATAAGTGACCCCACTATTGAGGCCAGGGAATGCAAACACATGCAACTAATGATCTTAGGAACCTATTGAA